TCTTGCTTTACCTCAGGAATAGTTTCCAGTGTGATGCTGGACTGCTTCTGTTCCCCATTTTATCCATCTGAAAAATGGGGAGAACATTATGGGCCCCTGATTCCAAGACCCTCTCAGATCTACTGATACAAAAAAATTGAAACAAGATGAGCAGACTTTGATATGGTTCAAACCACAAAATCAACATAAAATCTGGAATTTATTAAAAAAAAAAAAATCAGTTGTGTTATGTTTATGAAGATAAATGAGTTTTATATGTTTATGCTATCACAATATATAAACTTACATAATTTATATGATATGTGTATGTCATATACATTTGTGAATGCATAAATACATATGGTTGTGCATTTTATAAAAGAAAACATCTTCTTTTCTTTAGTGTGTGAAAAAAGCCACACAAACATGAATGTTATTCCCTGGGATGTCATCTGCAGGGTGGTCCGTGTCACTGCACCTCATGCACACACGTGCATGCCCACATTATTCCTGATAGGATGTCCATCTACATGGCTCTTCCAAGAGAAACAGGAACTCATGCACAGAAAACAAAATGTCCCCTTTAAAACTCCGAATGCCTCTATCTCGTGTTCCTCCCTACAGCTCTCACGCACTCGCAAAACAGTAATAAAATCATTGAAAAAAAATCTCTGACTCGGCACTACTTCTGATTTGCATATCTGCAGCTTCTTTACCAAAACATGCCAAAGCACTCTTGCTTTGCTTCAGAGCATCCCTACAAACAGCTGAATCTAGAGACAGGAAGCTTAAGGTTGGGGTCCTACTGAAAGCTGTTCTATGGCCCAGGTGGCCGATTCCACAGTGCCTCTGCCATCCAGAGCCAGCAGTGGGGTGATGTACTCATACACAAACCACACTGAGCCATGCTAAAAATCCTGTGAAGTGCAAGGCAAGAGAAAACAGGTGTCTGTGGACTTACAGACCCAACTGTGCTGAATGCAAAGGGGGCTGTAGTCACAGGTGTACGTGCGGGTGTTGCTTTTCATTCCTGCTTTTTTAAAAATTAAACTTTTCCCTACCAAGATGCTGGCTCTCTGCTTTGACTGACCTTGTTATGGAGCATCTTATCTGCTGAATAAGACAGCAGTGGTGGTTCCACACCAATTAAAGGCAATTTAATCCAGTGCTGCTGCAAATCCCACTTTCGGGCGCTTGCTGCTTGTTCGGCTGATTTAGTGAGGCAATTCAGAAAAAATCACATGGGCCTCTTGCCAGCATTGGGCGTTGATGTGGCACACCAGGGGGAGCAAGGAGTAGTGACAGTGGTGCCAGACAGTGGCAAAGCCACGCAACTTGGAACTAACTTGTGCATGGG